TCAGGGGTTGACACTAACTTTTAATAGGTGGTGGACCGCAGGTCCACCTGCTCTCTTGATCTGGTGGACCTGGTTAATTTCTGGTGGACCTGAATAATATTCTCAGATCTGGGGCGCTTTGCGCCCCGGTCGACGAGCGTAGCGAGGAGTGGGGGGTGGGTTCGGGAGGGGGTAACCCCCCTCCTGAATAAGAGGGGGGTATGGGGGTCCTCCCCCGAATTTTTTTAAAAGCTAGATGCAAAATCCTGGCATCTGAGGGTTTTAAACAAATAATGAAGGTTTTTTAATTTTCTGTAAAAAACTTGCTTTTTCTCCTTATTTTTTTTATTTTTTCCATTTATGATCAAGTTTTAGTAAATGACACAGAAACATGGAACAATTTTCTCCTTGTTTTTTTTTTTACATAGCTCCCATCCAAAGGTGTTTGAAATTCTGACTGTAAATTGAGATAAAGATCATATGAAAAAATAAGGATAAAATAATATACTTTTTTATAGTATTATACCTTTTTTATATGATCTTTATCTCAATATACAGTCAGAATGTCAAACAAATTTGCCCCAACAGTAGTCTTTACGTATTTTGTTGCAACTCTATTCAATCCTTCCTGGACATTTTGGAATCATCTTCTGAGTGCACGATACCCCACATTTCATTAAGTTTGTGTCAGTATCATTATTGAGCCATGTAAACGATTTTCCATGACTCCCTAAAGGATATCATCCTTTTTGTTGCCCATACAAACTTCGTGTTGTTTTTGTTCTGTTGAAGTTTTTAACTATTTTTTTGCCAGTGGTTGTAAACCAAGCCATTTAAAAATCGCGACACAGGCGATACGGTACTAGTCTAGTACAGATACTAAGTTAATCGACGGACACGATCACCTTAACGATATACGCTATAGAATACGATAGAAATCAAAACGTAACACAAAATTGTGAGACTAAGTTTACCTTCATTTATCGGTTGACCACCGTGATCGTGACGTCATCGTCATTTTAGTGCTTATAATAGCGGCAAACTATACCGCAAGCGACTCAAATGCTGAAAAGATTCCGACTTACCGCAAGCGGATTCACGCACTTCACTCGTCCAAGAATGATAACGACAACTTTTAGCGGGTTAACAACACGAAAATACGATACATTTTTTAACCAGATAGGATTTTACGGCTCGCTGGCGAAGGAAATAAAGTCTTTATTAGTATATTTCTGAACAATATTCCAAATATATATACACTAATCAAGTAATATGTGGTGGACCGGCGGTCTACCAGCTTTGGAGATTAAGTGGACCGTCCAAGATTTTGGTGGACCCGGTCCTCCGGTCTACCGTTAGTGTCGACCCCTGAGTCATTGGACAGTCCGATACGTTTGGTGTAGCATGTGCCCTTCATCATTGGACAGTCCAATACGTTTGGTGTAGCATGTGCCCTTCCTCATTGGACAGTCCAATACGTTTGGTGAAGCATGTGTCCTTCCTCATTGGACAGTCCGATAAGTTTGGTATAGCATGTGCCCTTCCTCATTGGACAGTCCGATACGTTTGGTGTAGCATGTGCCCTTCCTCTTGTAGAATTCCTGATGTATGTGTTGGTGTAGAAAACAGTCTCGACCTAGCAAGATAACGATAACACATGGTTTACTTAGGAATGTGTACCAAGTAAAAGACGAATCGCCTTTACTTAGATTACCGAGGTGTTTTTTGTTCATTTACAGAACAGAAACAAATTGTAAATGGACAATTCAGACAGGTGGAAAAATCAAGTACACCATGTCTTTCTTTCACCTAGAGGCTGAAAGCACCTGTACAGACGCTGATTTCTTGTCGATCACTGGTAAGTTTTAATGTATATTGCAGAGAATGTCGAGTTGGTAAAGTTGTCCATTGTGAAAAAAGTATCAGATTCCTGTTTGAATCGTTAATTAAATATTTATGTTAATACCAAACATTGTTTTATACCAACAATGTTCAAAGAGTGTGTCCCTTTAGATAGTATTTCGTCCTGTGTGTCTGTTTACAGATATTCAAAAATTCATAAAGTCCCCTGATCAATAATATGTTATTGTCTCATAATTGTCTGTGCCAACGGCCTACCTCAACACTCAAACGATAAGAAGAGACTCTAACTTTTGTGTACCCTGATAAATAATTATCTGGTCTTTGTGTGTCACCTTAGAGATGATTTATCTGGTCCTTGTGTGTCACCTTATAGATAATTATCTGGTCCCTGTGTCCTCTTATAGATACTTATTGGTCCTTGTATGTCCTCTTATAGATAATTATCTGGTCCTTGTGTGTCACCTTATAGATAATTATCTGATCTTTGTGTGTCACCTTAAGAGAAATGTATCTGGTCCTTGTGTGTCACCTTATAGATAATTATCTGGTCTTTGTGTGTCACATTTAGAGAAATGTATCTGGTCCTTGTGTGTCCCCTTATAGATAATTATCTGGTCCTTGTGTGTCACCTTATATATAATTATCTGGTCCCTGTGTGTCCCCTTATAGATAATTATCTGGCCCTTGTGTCCACTTATAGATATTTATCTCGTACTTGTGTCCCCTTATTGATAATTATCTGGTCCTTGTGTGTCACCTTATAGATAATTATCTGATCTTTGTGTGTCACATTTAGAGAAATGTATCTGGTCCTTGTGTGTCCCCTTATAGATAATTATCTGGTCCCTGTGTGTCCCCTTATATATATTTATCTGGTCCTTGTGTGTCCCCTTATATATAATTATCTGGTCCCTGTGTGTCACCTTATAGATAATTCTCTGGTCCTTGTGTGTCACCTTATAGATAATTATCTGATCTTTGTGTGTCACCTTAAGAGAAATGTATCTGGTCCTTGTGTGTCATCTTATAGATAATTATCTGGTCTTTGTGTGTCACATTTAGAGAAATGTCTCTGGTCCTTGTGTGTCCCCTTATAGATAATTATCTGGTCTTTGCGTGGCCCCTTATAGATAATTATCTGGTCCCAGTGTGTCCACTTATAGATATTTATCTGGTCCTTGTGTGTCCCCTTATATATAAATATCTGGTCCCTGTGTGTCCCCTTATAGATAATTATCTGGTCCTTGTGTCCACTTATAGATATTTATCTCGTACTTGTGTCCCCTTATTGATAATTATCTGGTCCTTGTGTGTCACCTTATAGATAATTATCTGGTCTTCGTGTGTCACATTAAGAGAAATGTATCTGGTCCTTGTGTTTCACTTTATAGATAATTATCTGGTCCATGTGTCCCCTTATAAATAATTATCTGGTCCCTGTGTGTCTCCTTATATATATTTATCTCGTCCTTTTGTGTCACCTTATAGATACTTATTGATCCTTGTGTGTCCCCTTATAGATACTTATTGATCCTTGTGTCACCTTATAGATAATTATCTGATCATTGTGTCCCTTTATAGATACTTATCTGGTCCTTGTGTGTCCCCTTATAGATAATTATCTGGTCCTTGTGTGTCCCTTTATAGATAATTATCTGGTCCCTGTGTGTCCCCTTTTAGATAATTATCTGGTCCTTGTGTCTACTTATAGATATCTATCTGGTCCTTGTGTCCCCTTATTGATAATTATCTGGTCCTTGTGTGTCCCCTTATAGATAAGTATCTGGCTGGTCCATGTGTGTCCACTTATAGATATTTATCTCGACATTGTGTCTACTTATAGATATTTATCTGGTCTTTGTGTGTCCCCTTATAGATAATTATCTGGTCCCTGTGTGTCCTCTTATAGATGATTATCTCATCCTTGTGTCCACTTATAGATATTTATCTCGACATTGTGTCTACTTATAGATAATTATCTGGTCTTTGTGTGTCCCCGTATAGATAATTATTTTGTCCTTGTGCTACTTATATCTATCTATCTGGTCTTTGCGTGTCCCCTTATAGATAATTATCTGGTCCCAGTGTGTCCACTTATAGATATTTATCGGGTCCTTGTGTGTCCCCTTATATATAAGTATCTGGTCCCTGTGTGTCCCATTATAGATGATTATCTGGTCCCTGTGTGTCCTCTTATAGATGATTATCTCATCCTTGTGTCCACTTATAGATATTTATCTCGACATTGTGTCTACTTATAGATAATTATCTGGTCGCTGTGTGTCCCCTTATAGATAAGTATCTGGTCTTTGTGTGTCCCCGTATAGATAATTATTTTGTCCTTGTGCTACTTATATCTATCTATCTGGTCTTTGCGTGTCCCCTTATAGATAATTATCTGGTCCCAGTGTGTCCACTTATAGATAAGTATCTGGTCTTTGTGTGTCCCCTTATATATAAGTATCTGGTCCCTGTGTGTCCCATTATAGATGATTATCTGGTCCCTGCGTTTCCACTTATAGATGATTATCTCGTACTTGTGTCTACTCATAGATAATTATCTGGTCCCTGTGTGTCTCCTTATAGATTAGTATCATGTCCTTGTGTGTCCCCTTATAGATAATTATCTGGTCCCTGTGTGTCTCCTTATATATATTTATCTGGTCTTTATGTGTCCCCTTATAGATATTTATCTGGTCCCTGTGTGTCTACTTATAGATATTTATCTGGTCCCTGTGTGTCCTCTTATTGATAATTATCTGGTCCTTGTGTGTCCCCTTATAGATAAGTATCTGGCTGGTCCATGTGTGTCCACTTATAGATATTTATCTCGACATTGTGTCTACTTATAGATATTTATCTGGTCTTTGTGTGTCCCCTTATAGATAATTATCTGGTCCCTGTGTGTCCTCTTATAGATGATTATCTCATCCTTGTGTCTACTTATAGATATTTATCTGGTCCTTGTGTGTCCCCTTATAGATAATTATCTGGTCCCTGTGTGTCTCCTTATATATATTTATCTGGTCTTTATGTGTCCCCTTATAGATATTTATCTGGTCCCTGTGTGTCCACTTATAGATATTTATCTGGTCCCTGTGTGTCCTCTTATAGATGATTATCTCGTCCTTGTGTCTACTTTTAAATATTTTTCTGGTCCTTGTGTGTCCCCTTATAGATAATTATCTGGTCCTTGTGTCTACTTTTAGATATTTTTCTGGTCCTTGTGTGTCCTCTTATAGATAATTACCTGATCCTTGGGTGGCCTCTATAGATGATTATCTCGTCCTTGTGTCATCTTATAGATAAGTATCTGGTCTTTGTGTGTCCCCTTATAGATACTTATCTGGTCCTTGTGTCTACTTTTAGATATTTTTCTGGTCCTTGTGTGTCCCCTTATAGATAATTATCTCGTCCTTGTGTGTCCCCTTATAGATAATTATCTCGTCCTTGTGTGTCCCCTTATAGATAATTATCTCGTCCTTGTGTCTACTTTTAGATATTTTTCTGGTCCTTGTGTGTCCCCTTATAGATAATTACCTGATCCTTGGGTGTCCTCTTATAGATAATTATCTGGTCCCTGTGTGTCCCCTTATAGATAATTATCTGGTCCTTCTGTGTCCCCTTATATATAATTATCTGGTCCTTGTGTGTCCCCTTATAGATATTTATCTGGTCCTTGTGTGTCCCCTTATAGATAATTATCTCGTCCTTGTGTGTCCCCTTATAGATAATTATCTCGTCCTTGTGTGTCCCCTTATAGATAATTATCTCGTCCTTGTGTCTACTTTTAGATATTTTTCTGGTCCTTGTGTGTCCCCTTATAGATAATTACCTGATCCTTGGGTGTCCTCTTATAGATAATTATCTGGTCCCTGTGTGTCCCCTTATAGATAATTATCTGGTCCTTCTGTGTCCCCTTATATATAATTATCTGGTCCTTGTGTGTCCCCTTATAGATATTTATCTGGTCCTTGTGTGTCCCCTTATAGATAATTATCTCGTCCTTGTGTGTCCCCTTATAGATAATTATCTCGTCCTTGTGTGTCCCCTTATAGATAATTATCTCGTCCTTGTGTCTACTTTTAGATATTTTTCTGGTCCTTGTGTGTCCCCTTATAGATAATTACCTGATCCTTGGGTGTCCTCTTATAGATAATTATCTGGTCCCTGTGTGTCCCCTTATAGATAATTATCTGGTCCTTCTGTGTCCCCTTATATATAATTATCTGGTCTTTGTGTGTCCCCTTATAGATATTTATCTGGTCCTTGTGTGTCCCCTTATAGATAATTATCTGGTCCTTGTGTGTCCCCTTATAGATAATTATCTGGTCTTTGTGTGTCCCCTTATAGATATTTATCTGGTCCATGTGTGTCCCCTTATATATAGTTATCTGTTCCTTGTGTGTCCCCTTATAGATAATTATCTGTTCCTTGTGTGTATCCCGTCTTTTTATATACAAATGTACTTTCTAGTCATTTCATGTCCCTTTGGATATTAAGAGGTGACCAGAATTGCCCCTTATTGTTTTCAATAATTATCTTGTGTACGTCTTTCTAGAAAGCTTATAGTTGCTTGTTCTTTATATTTCTTTAATTGATATGTATATTTCAGTTCGAGGTATAATGGGGCAACCGGAGTGCGACAGAGAGCTCCAAAGCGAAACAGTGATAGATCTAGAAAGTCCTGTAGTAGTGGACTTTCACTTTGATGACAGCGTTAGTCAGGCAGGATTTCTGATGTGTTTCGAAAATATCGGTATATTAACTAAATTCTGTAATTATTAACACAATCAAATTCCCTGTAATTATTGATAATAGCAAACATATAAAAAATACAACAACAAACAAATGTACACTACTACATACCACAAACTACAACATGTACTACATCAACTATTACACTACTTCACAACCAACTACTACATGTACTACATCAACTATTACACTACTACACCAACAACAACTACTTGTACTACATCAACTATTACACAACTTCACAACCAACTACTACATGCACTACATTTAGTAGTACAATACTACTACACCAACAACTACTTGTACTACATCAACTATTACACTTCTACACCACCAACTACTACATGTACTACATTTACTAGTACAATACTACACCACCAGATACAGTACTACATTTACTAGTACAATTCTGCACCATCAACTACTACTTGTACTACATCAACTATTACAATACTACACCAACAACTACTAAATGAACTACATCAACTATTACACTACTTCACAACCAACTACTACATGTACTACATCAACTATTACACTACTACACAAACAACTATTACATGTACTACATTTACTAGTACAATTCTGCACCATCAACTACTACTTGTACTACATCAACTATTTCACTACCACACCAACTACTGCATGTACTAAATCAACTATTACACTACTTCACCAACTACTACATGTACTACATTTACTAGTACAATACTACTACACCAACAACTACTACATGTACTACATCAACTAATATACTACTTCACCACCAACTACTACATGTATTACATTTACTAGTACAATACTACTTCACCACCAACTACTACATGTATTACATTTACTAGTACAATACTACTACACCAACAACTTCTACATGTACTACATTTACTAGTACAATACTACTACACCAACAACTTCTACATGTACTACATCAACTATAACACTAGTTCACCAACTACTACATGTACTACATCAAATATAACACTAATTCACCAACTACTACATGCACTACATCAACTATAACACTAATTCACCAACAACTACATGTACTACATCAACTATTACAGTACAACACCAACTACTACATGTACTACATCAAATATAACACTAATTCACCAACTACTACATGCACTACATCAACTATAACACTAATTCACAATCTACTACATGTACTACATCAACTATAACACTCATTCACCAACTACTACATGTACTACATGAACTATTACACTACTTCACCACCAGCAACTACATGTACTACATTTACTAGTACAATTCTGCGCCATCAACTACTACTTGTACTACATCAACTATTACAATACTACTCCAACAACTACTACATGTACTACATCAACTAATATACTACTTCACCACCAACTACTACATGTACTGCATCAACTATAACACTAATTCACCAACTACTACATGTGCTACATCAACTATTACACTACTTCACCACCAGCTACTACATGTACTACAACAACTATTACACTACTTCACCACCAGCTACTACATGTACTACAACAACTATTACACTACTTCACCACCAGCAACTACATGTACTACATCAACTATAACACTGACACACCAACTACTACTACATGTACTACATCAACTATTACACTACTTCACCACCAGCAAACTACTGCATGTACTAAATCAACTATTACACTATTACACCAACTACTACATGTTCTACATCAACTATTACAATACTGCACCACCACTAACTACTACATTTACTAGTACAATACTACACCACCACTAACTACTACATGTACTACATCAACTTTTACACTACTCCACCAACTACTACATGTATTACATTTACTAGTACATTACTACTACACCAACTACTACACCAACTACACATGTACTACATTTACTAGTACAATACTACACCACCAGATACAACTTGTACTACATCAACTATTACACTACTACACCAAGAACTACTACATGTACTACATCAACTAATATAGTACACTTCACCTACCTACTACACCACCAACTACTACATGTACTAAATCAACTATTACACTATTACACCAACTACTACATGTTCTACATCAACTATTACAATACTACACCACCACTAACTACTACAGCAACTACATGTACTACATCAACTATAACACTACCACACCAACTACTACTATATGTACTACATCAGCTATTACACTACTACACCACCAACTACTTGTACTACATCAACTATTACACTACTTCCCCACCAGCAACTACATGTACTACATCAACTATAACACTACCACACCAACTACTACTATATGTACTACATCAACTATTACACTACCTCACCACCAGCAAATACATGTACTACATCAACTATAACACTACCACACCAACTACTACTATATGTACTAAAGCAACTATTACACTACTACACCACAAACTACTTCATGTACTACATCAACTATTACACTACTTCACCATCAGCAACTACATGTACTACATCAACTATAACACTACCACACCAACTACTACTATATGCACTACATCAACTATTACACTACCACACCAACAAATACATGTATTACATCAACTATTTCACTACTACACCAACTACTACATGTATTACATTTACTAGTACATTACTACTACACCAACTACTACACCAACTACACATGTACTACATTTACTAGTACAATACTACACCACCAGATACAACTTGTACTACATCAACTATTACACTACTTCACCAACAACTACTACGTGTACTACATCAACTATTATACTACTTCTCCATCAACTACTACATGTACTACATCAACTTTTACACTACTCCACCAACTACTACATGTATTACATTTACTAGTACATTACTACTACACCAACTACTACACCAACTACTACATGTACTAAATCAACTATTACACTATTACACCAACTACTACATGTTCTACATCAACTATTACAATACTGCACCACCACTAACTACTACATTTACTAGTACAATACTACACCACCAGATACAACTTGTACTACATCAACTATTACACTACCACACCAACAAATACATGTATTACATCAACTATTTCACTACTACACCAACTACTACATGTACGACATCAACTATTACACTACTACACCATCAACTACTACATATACTACATTTACTAGTACAATACTACACCACCAGATACAACTTGTACTACATCAACTATTACACTACTTCACCATCAGCAACTACATGTACTACATCAACTATAACACTACCACACCAACTACTACTATATGTACTACATCAACTATTACACTACCTCACCACCAGCAAATACATGTACTACATCAACTATAACACTACCACACCAACTACTACTACATGTACTCTACATCAACTATTACACTACTACACCATCAACTACTACATATACTACATTTACTAGTACAATACTACACCACCACTAACTACTAAATGTACTACATCAACAATTACACTACTTCACCACCAACTACTACATGTACTGCATCAACTATTACACTACTTCACCATCAGCAACTACATGTACTACATCAACTATAACACTACCACACCAACTACTACTATATGTACTACATCAGCTATTACACTACTACACCACCAACTACTACCTGTACTACATCAACTATTACACTTCTTCACCAACAACTACTACTAATTGTACTACATCAACTTTTACACTACTACACCAACTACTACATGTGCTACATCAACAATTACACTACCACACCAACTACTCCATGTACTACATCAAATATTACACTACTTCATCACCAACTACTACATGTACTGCATCAACTATTACACTACTTCACCATCAGCAACTACATGTACTACATCAACTATAACACTACCACACCAACTACTACTATATGGACTACATCAACTATTACACTACTACACCAACAAACTACTACATGTACTACATGAACTATTACACTACTTCACCACCAGCTACTACATGTACTACAACAACTATTACACTACTTCACCACCAGCAACTACATGTACTACATCAACTATAACACTGACACACCAACTACTACTACTACTACATGTACTACATCAACTATTTCACTACGACACCAACTACTACATGTACTACATGAAATATTACACTACTTCATCACCAACTAATACATGTACTGCATCAACTATTACACTACTTCACCATCAGCAACTACATGTACTACATCAACTATAACACTACCACACCAACTACTACTATATGCACTACATCAACTATTACACTACCACACCAACAAATACATGTATTACATCAACTATTTCACTACTACACCAACTACTACATGTGCTACATCAACAATTACACTACCACACCACCAACTACTACATGTACTAAATCAACTATTACACTATTACACCAACTACTACATGTTCTACATCAACTATTACAATACTGCACCACCACTAACTACTACATTTACTAGTACAATACTACACCACCAGATACAACTTGTACTACATCAACTATTACACTACCTCACCACCAGCAAATACATGTACTACATCAACTATAACACTACCACACCAACTACTACTATATGGACTACATCAACTATTACACTACTACAACATCTACTACATGTACTACATCAACTATGACACTTCTTCACCAACAACTACTGCTAATTGTACTACACTACATGTACTACATCAACTATTATACTACTTCACCACCAACTACTACATGTACTACAACAACTATTACACTACTACACCACAAACTACTTCATGTACTACATCAACTATTACACTACCTCACCACCAGCAAATACATGTACTACATCAACTATAACACTACCACACCAACTACTACTATATGTACTACATCAACTATTACACTACCTCACCACCAGCAAATACATGTACTACATCAACTATAACACTACCACACCAACTACTACTACATGTACTCTACATCAACTATTACACTACTACACCAACTACTACATGTATTACATTTACTAGTACATTACTACTACACCAACTACTACATG